GGGGGGGGGGGGGGGGGGGGGGGGGGGGGGGGGGGGGGGGGGGGGGAATTTCGGTCCTTTGTGCTGTATAACTTTTATTTTGGAACCTCAGCTGGACCTTACTAGTACTAATAAATTGTATAGTAACACATACTGAGGAAACAGTTATAAATTTTGTCTTCCTGCTTCTAACAATTCAATTGTCATGCGCCCTGCATGTACAGCGCTTCTCATAAAAAAATTTTTTAATTTTCGTAAATGCGAAAAATCCATTAAAAATATGTATCCATAAAAAGCTTAGAAATGATGATACCGAAGTATTCAGAGTGTACCATCATTTACTTCCAATAGCAACCCGTGCCATGTATTTCTCTTGCACAAACAATTACATAACAATTATTTAAAAAAAGGGTGAATTATGTTTTAACTTTATTTTGTTACAATTCCTCAATTAAGCTATAATACTTTTCGAGTGCCTCTGCCTCACAGACGAAGCGAATATGGAAGGTCTTCGTCACTAAATTATTTAATAATTTAAATTATCCAATCAGTCGCCATGAACATTTGATGTTTCTGGTGTTGCTAGGATTGATATCGCGGTGCATCATGATCCCAGTATTATAGCACAAACGCTTTGAATAGAAAAGTACTTTTGTCCTGCATTTACGTGTATTATTATCACAATTCACTGAAGGTGCAACTTATGGGTACAGATGGAACTTTAAAAAAAGAGGTGAGAAGAGATACCAGGGTGTGGGAGCATATCCTATCATTTCTTTGTGTCAAGGCCGCTCATTCAATGCTCCTGCTTGCAGTGAGCCGACAAAAAATGTTCTACTTACCGCCGGGAGCTGACCCAATTAGTGACAGACAATTACCACTGCCTAGCAGACCGCGCGGGTGGAGAAGTTTTGCCACAGTTTTCACTGATCTTGCCCTGAAGGATTTTAATGAAACCACAGGAAATTCTTCAGGAGAAATTCCTCACGCCCTTTCGGTAAGAAAGGTCTTGAAGATATTTAGTACTATTTAATTATCAGTTTAGAAGTTATATGTCTTCGGTGTTTGCAGGTAAATTAGATCAGCTTAGCGTTAGCACATGGAGCCACTTTTTGGAATTCATTCACTCTGTGTACTGTTAACTTGTTTCAGCAGAACTGAGCTAGACTTTAGGCCACCTGAGAATAACAGGACTTTAAGCCACCTCAGAATCATTTTATAAGCAGCAGTGAGCTCTTCATTTTCATGCATCCTGTTCTCTGTAGAGAACCATCACAGATCTAGTCGCGGATGGTAAACTTCCCATGGTACTGTGACAGCTGATGGTCAGTTTTTGCTGTTTTCTTTGAACTTGGCGTCCAATACTCCTGTTTTTGCAAAACTTTTGCTACTTTGTTCTTTGATATTAATTTGCATTATTGGCACTTCCATCTTATTGTGCGACATTACCTAAGTGGAGAGAAAAATGTGTTTGCACTGCTCTTTGACCACTTGTTCAAATTATTTTAATCTGTATTTGGAAAACTCTATCATTTCTCCTGTAGAGGTGAGTATAAAGCAGTAGCAAATTTAATGGCGTTAGAAGTACAAGTCGTTTGATTGCGTCCAAATTCAGTTCACCCCTTTTCTCTGTTCTTTTCCTATTGCAGTCTTAACTAGAGTCAGCTACACGCTGGAGTTATAACCTTTCGATTCTTCGTAATATCGCAGTTTATAGGGTGAACAGCCATGCTCCTGAAAATTAATTTTTAGAGGGGCAATTCGTGAACTAGACCAGATGCCCCCGGACGATCACTTTTTCCGCAGCATTGCAATTGGAGGAGCAGCAGTAAGTTCAATAACAGTTGCTGCGGTGATTCTTTTCATCCCGACACTCTTGGACCGAATTGAAAACGAAAAAGTTGCAACGCAAATTATGGCCAAGAAGTTTGAGGTAACTGCTCATTGAGGAGTTTTGCGTAAAACGCTATAAAATGCTAAGTCATCAGTGATTTGTTGTGACAGCGAATTGATTCTGGCATTTTCTGGAGGTTTCCTTTCTTTTAATAAAAAAAAAAAATTCAGTCAGGCCAGAAATAAAGCGCATAAGCCTTCCAAAAAAGTAAAATGCAAAGCCGAGATGAATTTGGCCTGGTCTTAGAAGCCTTCAGCTACTCAGTAGATAAAATTTTAAGAACTGTTAATGCAAAAGCAAGACGTTCCACTTCTGTGGCTGTGGCTAGAAACCAATAAAAACGAAGCGAAAAATAATAATTCAAGTGAAGATAAAAAACTGCTCAGCATTTGCTATCCACAAAAAGAGAAGTCACTCGAAAGTAGTCCTGTAGCAAATAGTAACCATTAATTGCTTTTTTTTGGCTGGGAAGCTGATATTTTGCAGGCACATTCGCTGCCCGAATACGAATCTTAAAGCCTGAATTTAGCTGTAAATTCGGAAACATCAGCTCCTTCTTAATTTGAAAATACACAAAGCTATGAAATCAAAATTCCAGGTGTAAAATTTGACCTCGTTTGTGAGATGAATGATAGTTTTTGAGCTTCAAATGAACTTCAGCTGTAATCAAGTTGATGCTACAGTTTCAAAAAGAAATGAACTGCAGGCGCAAGATTTCGAAACTCTGATCAGGACGTGATGTCGTAAACAAAAAGCAGCATTCGGCAGCATGCTGTAAAAAACCGCCAACTTTCAGATTTCTGCCTCTTTGAAACGTTGCCATTCATAGTCGCACTGTCGCTGCGAGTGCGTATTACCAGTTGTTTTGCAAAAATTTGCTGGCGTCTACCGGCTGGAGGACAACAGAACCTGACAGACTGAGGCGTAACTTTGCTCTGTGGTTCCTGCCCGTGTTCATCTGACTAGCTTACGCTCACATTTATCTTCAAATTTAGAAAAGGGTACATATGATATGGGCACAACTGAAGGAGCTACATGATCACAGGTCAGCGGCAACGGAACAAAAATCGCTATACCATCGCACTATTCGTTCACACTGGATTGATTCAAATCGATGTAGAGGTTAGCGGATTGTCTGGTCAAAAATCCATAATGACAGCAACAAATAGCACATAAGTAACTTTCGGAAACAGTAACAAAATCAGCTATTAAAGCTTTTCTTTCGTACCAAATTGCCACAGTCAAAAACGCCATTAGGTCAATTGTAGGCAGTCCTCAAAGGAAGGAGCCATCGAGAGCTTTACCAGCAGGAGGTTGCTGTTGGGATTTGCCTCTGTCTGAGCTGCTTTCCAAGTTCCTTGAATTTCGGAGGAGGCTTTGACTTTTTCACTGTAGCTTCCAAAATATTCGGAAAACAGGATAAATTAATGAAATTGATCCTAAATCATTTAGGATGCTACTCGCTTGCATGCCCTAATGGACCATCAGGCCCACCCGGTCGTTCGGGAGCAGATGGTTATCCCGGTGAGTCAGGAAAACAAGGTCGCCCTGGTGTTGATGGCTATGACGTACAGTTGGAACCGGAGCCAGATCTTCCATGTGTTGTTTGCCCTGCTGGACCACGAGGGCAACGGTAACCAGAATTTCTAACACAGTATAACATTTAAGCAATTTTTGGATGGCTACTTCATGAAAATTCTGTTTTTAGCAGTTGAATCATTGATATCTCATCGTGCATGGTTTTTTTTTTAGTGGATCACAAGGTGAACGTGGACGAATTGGTGAGCCGGGACCGAAAGGCGAAAGTGGTAGACATGGGAATCCTGGCGCTCAAGGAGTAATTGGTCGACCAGGAAAAGAAGGACCGCGTGGAAAAAGAGGACCTGAAGGTCCCCAAGGCCCCCCGGGCGAAACAGCTGTAGCAGGTCTAAGAATGCATTTCGATGTTATTTTACGCAGTAACTAAACCATTAATGAGATAATCATTTACCCAGTATTTTTTTGCGTTTTGCGTAGTGTAACAGCAGCACAAAACGCATGTTGTGACGGTCCTCTGTGTGTGTCCGAATGTATTTTGTCCCGCTCGTCCAAAAACTCGGGAACCACGAAAGCTGAAAAGCTGAAATTTTAGTACAATGTTCCTCATCCACGTAAGACCCATTAAATTTAAATTCAGCCTTCATTTACCTCTAGGTACCACTTATTGCCCCGTGAAAGCCTCAGCAGGGAAAATTATTATCTCAGGAATGCCCCTTGCTCATAAAAAACTCGCCAATTCAAACTTAGCCTTTCCGTACAACTGGGTACCATACATGGCCCCGCGAAAGTTTTGGCGAAGAAATTATTATCTCGGGAACCAGAAGAGTTAGGAGGCTCAAAAGAAGGCTTTTGCTTATGCAAGGGTTTCACAAATTCAAATTTAGCATCGCATTAGACTACGTATTACTCAGAAGCAAGGAAACAGGCGGCTGAAATTAATTCATCTTCTACGTATGTTAACATCTTATGCGCCTGTGCATGGAATTTTTAATTGGAGGTACCGCAGCTTAGCAAACAGGAACTGCGCAAAACACTTGATTGCACCGGCTTCCGTGGTGCACGTGGCTGTTTGTATTGCATTATTTTCAGGCACCGGAATTAAAGGTCCGAAAGGGCCACCAGGTCCAATGGGCCCGAAAGGTCCAACAGGTCCACGAGGGAAACCATCAAAATTGCCGGGTAGGCCGGGAAATCCGGGCAGCGCTGGTCCGATCGGTCCACAAGGAGCGTCGGGACACAAAGGAGACGAAGGACCATGGGGTCCACCTGGCGAGTCCGGTAATATAATCTTATTATACATTAAAAGCAGCTTCGCGCATTTCTGATATTCCATGTGTTTTCATAAAATGTAATATTTTTAGCTTTAAATATAGGCATTGTTGGCTGATTCTGAAAGTAATTTGCATTCAGGCATGCCAGCGGAATACTGTCCATCGGACTGCGGTGTCTCGAAGATCTACGCGCCATCAGCGTTTCCCAATTACGCTGCACCGAACCTAGGAGCCGATCAGGATGATACATCACTACTCAACAACAATCTCGGTCGGCCAATGTATGCGGCAGATGTCTGGCCTGAAGCATGGATCTAAGGCGAAAGACATTTGTACTGCTGATTTGGCGTTGGCACTATTTTTCATAGCACAGATTTTATTTAAACAGATTTATTTAAATAAATTTTTTTAAAACAGATCCAAAGCACAGATTTATACTTTCTGTTTAAACAAGTTTCTCAACTGGCAAATATGCAGCTGCTCTTTTTTATGCGTTTTTTGCTGTGTAACAGCAGTACAAAACGTATCTTGTCACAAAAGGGTTGTCTGTATGTGTGTTTGCGTGTATGCTTGTATGTGTGTGTATGTATGTCCGCAGCAACTTGCCTACAACTTTCAACTCGGAGAGCATGAAAGCTACGAAGTTGAAAATTTACAGAAACGTTCCTCACCTGCGCCTGACTTGTAAATTTAAATTGCGTCTCCCCGTACCCGCGGATACCACGCAAAGCCCGCAAAAGTTCGGGCGGATAAAATTATTATCACGCGAGCCATGGAAGCTAGAAGGCTGAAATTTTATGGGCATGCCCCTGCCTACCTGCTACCCGGAAAATTTAAACTCGGCTTTCCCTTGCTCGCGTGCGGTCTCTTAAACTTTTGACGGGTAAATTATCACAGAAACCACGGGAGCTAGAAGGCTAAAATTTTGTGGGCATGTCCCCTGCACACATGCGACCCAGAAAATTTAGATTCAGCCTTCTCCCGCCCGCGGTATTCCGAACAGCCCCGTGAAATTCTGGCGGATAAATTATCTCGGAAATTCCGGGATCTAAGAGGCTGAAATTTTACAATCGCTTTTCCCTGCCTACGTACGACCTCGTAAATTCAAATCCAGCGTCCCTGCGCTTCCGGGTATCGTCTGAAGCCCCACGGAAGTTTTGGCTGGGAAACTGTTATCTCTCGAACCACGAAAGCTGGGAATCTGAAATTTTAAGGCGATGTCGTGAAATTTTTAACTACTTGGAATTTTCGACTATTTTCCAACGTTTCAACTATTTTTGCACAGACAAAACAGTACAAAACAGTGGAAATCATTAACAGGCAACCGTTCGGTGGACGGAATTGCACAAAATGCACGATCGCACCGGCTATTTTGGTGCGCTGCTATTTGCTTGTTTTTCAGTTAGTTTCTTCTCTCGAAGAATATGTTTTTTTCGACAAATGTTTACTGTTCATGTGCGAACTTACATACTTTGCTCTTATGCGCACCTACGTTCCATATAAACGGGTGCATAGAATTCCCTTATTTTTTGCGTGTATCAAAGTGTAAAACAGTGAATATTCTTAAGAGCAACCGTTCGCTGGGCAAAGGTGCACAAAACGCTGATCGTGTTTTGCTGCTATTTATTACTCTAGCATTAATGAATAGAAGAATAAGCGTCAATGAAAGCATTAATTAAAGGAAAAATACGCAACCACCGTTATTTTTGTAATAAAAATACAACAAAACTAGTCACTGTTTGAATCACTGCCATAATCGGCTAAGCCCTGTAGAGCAGAGGAGGTTGATGCTGGTGCTGCTTCGGCTGGTGGTGATATCACTGGTGGCAATTTTGTTGCTACTGATAATGATGCAGATGATGACTGCTGCTGATCAGGCTTCTTTGGATCAGATTGGTTTGGTAATCTTACAGGGGTGCTATCGTCAGGATCCACTGTTTCAGTTTTCACGGTCACCAGTTGTTCGCTTTTTGGTTTCTTGACCATAACTGCTTTTGCAAGGATTTCTCGCTGGGTCATTCGTTTGTTTGCTGTAACAGCAGAACTCGTTTTGATATCGCTCTTCGAATCTAAGCTTATTGCTTTGAGATCCACAAATGAGCATCCCGGTTTTTGATCGTCCTCGACAAATTCTTGCTTCACTTGCATGCCTAAATCCGGCTTCACATCTTCCTCATCGTCAATTATTCGTTTAATGATTTTGCCGTCTTCTGTGCGACCATATAATTTCCGGACAAATTGCTCGTCTTCCTGTTCTTGCCGTCGATAAGCCTGAAAAGGCAAAATTACATTATTTTTATTAAGAAACACAAAAAAAAAAAACACCAGTCGGTACAACTTCCCTGAACGGATACCTGTTTTACAAAAGCAGAGAGGTGTCAAATGAGGACCGAATCGTGCCTCCAAATACTTCCTACATTTATTTCTTAACTGTTACAATGCCTAGAAACTAATATTTCAATTTTTACATGTGGAAGCTAAACACTCTGCTATGTCCAGCCGCTGCTACTGCTGCAAAAGTAATTGCATACTTTCCCAGTTCTATCAGATTTTCGTGGATATCAACAGCAACATTTATGCTTAATCCAGATTTTAGTGCCCAAAAAATCACATCCGTTTTAACTCTTACTTCTCCTAAAAAACTTACATGCTAGAAAGAAAGGTGTAATGGTACTAATGGCGCATGTCATACAAGATGAAATAATAAGAGACAGGGGATAAGGGATCAATCTAAACAGCTTGACTATTAAGTCAATTTATATGAAGAAATTTAATACGTAAAAAATTAAGTACCAAAAAATAAACACCAACAATAACATGAGATCCATGTAATCCTGTACCAATATAAAAAACTTTCATGTTCAAAAAGACATGTTAGGGTGGACATACTGACCCACATACTTCAGACTGGCACTCATAGTACTGAGATTTTCATTAACAACCGTCGTCTAGCATAACGCAGACATTCCTATTTGAAATGATTACTTCTTGGTTGGGCCTCCATGGCCCTTACTACCCATCCTACTTCATCTCTTAGTTGTAAACGCAAACCGGACGCAGAACATGGGTAGCAGTAGGAATCATCAGTACAGCCTCCTAACAGCCCAGGTAAACGGGGAGCATTTGTTAAATAGTACAAGACCAATGCTTTAAAACCCTAACGGGGGAACTTCGTGCAAGATGTCACATCTTTACAAACGATGACCCACTTCTGCTAGTGCTTCGGCTTCACTCTGGAAATACTGATCCGGCCCGAATGCTTCATGGCGTCGATTTGTTTCCTGCAACTCCTCAAGTTTTCCTGAAACAGAAAAACAATAGTCTTCCAGAAAAAAAACCTTAATGGGGAAGCACAGTAAAATCTTAATTAACAATCTCAGTAGTTTTTAACACAGATGGAAAAAACAACAGTGGTTCCCTGACACTATAAAATGTGATGCAGTGAATTTTGCCGATGGTAAAGTATACATACCCAAAGCTTCCATTTCGAGGCGACTCATTTTTGTTCGTTTTTCAAGCATTTTCATTGGATCCTTTTTCTCCTCCTCCTCTTTCGTTTCTTTGGCCTTCTCCTCCTGCTGATACAGCTTAAATGCTTCGAACAGACGAGTCGCTCCATGTTCCTGCTGGTAATCGCAATTCTCGAGATCCGTCTTGAATGTGATTTCAGCCAAGCAGTTCGGACACCTGAAATT